TTTTTTTTTTTAATTTTTTTTTTCCTCCCCGAAAGCAGGTCCTACTCCCCGTCAGGGCAAAGCCACCCGCTTTTCCTTCCTCTGCAAGTCAGCTCGCCGCTCCTATCTGCTTCCAAGCAAAACCCCGGCGACAAACCGCACACGGACACACACAGACAAAAGCCACCGGGGCTCCCGGGAAGCGGCCACCGCATCGTGTTTGGTAGCACCTCGGTGCAAAGTCCCATTAGCACAAGGCAACAAAAGCCATTTACGATGAAATCCGCACACTCGCACGTGCACACATAAACACCGATCCTGGGGAGAAGAACGGGTCGAGACATGGCTTTCTCCCTAAATCCAGCTGAGGATTTTCTTTTTTCGCCTTAAAAAAAAATTAAAATAAAATACCCTGACACCTCGTTCCTTGAAATCAAGCATCCGACAGCCGCTCGATCTCAGAGCTCAGCTCCCATACTGGGAAACAGCTTTATCCCGAACTGCTCGATCCAGGGCTAAAATACTGAATATTTTAGTCCTCGCTGCGTCTGACGAGTCCTCGGTCCCTTCCCTACCCTAACGGCATCACAAAAAGCAGCAGCGGTTTCGGATGGGAACGTGCCCCCCCTTCTCCCCCGAAATGTGTGTCGGAAAGGCTGCCGCCGAGGCTGGAGGTGCCTTCCCGCATGGGCTGCGACCAAATAAATACATTCATTTGCAAAGTGGAATCCTTTATTGCGGGGTTTAAATGCACTGCACAGGCAACTTTGGCGAAACGTGTGACAATAATATTCGTTGGTTGGAGGCTAGGCATTTGTCCTGGGCATCACTCTTCTTCTTTTTTCGTCTTCTTTTCCCTTTTTGTCAGATTAATAGACACTCGCCTCGCTCTAAAAATATGGATGCACGTACACACACTCATGCACACAACCTGTGCTGAACGGCTCCAAAACCAAATTAGGTGATTTTTAATTTTTCGAGAGTTTAAAATATTACTGCTCAAAGCCATGGGAGTGAGCGCCTGAAAATTAGGAGGTTGGGGGAATATAGCTCCAAACCCCCTGATTTCACTCCAGCAAGTGACCACTGAAAAAAAAAAAAATGTACAGCTCGGCATTACCAAACCAGCAGCTACCTCCAAGATGCTTACTTTAAGCGCCGGTCCTGAGCCAATCTATTGGGATGCCTCGGGTACCTAGCATGTAAGAATAATTCTTTTCCCTTTGTCTTTTTACCCTTTCATTCATTCATCCGTCCATTCATTCGGCCATCCATCCATCCATATGGATGAGTGTAGCATCCTACAGAGCCTTATCTATACAGGATCTACCTATAGACAAGGCTGCTGCTGCATTCTCCGTCCTGTTTTTCTTTCCTCATATACTTCCGACAAAGCCGGCTTTCCACAAGCCCCGAAGTTCCTGGGGAAGGATCCCCAGCCCCTTTCCAGCTGCAGGACTGCAAAGAAGCCTGGCGAAGGAGCAGAAGTTTTCCTAAACGAAATTCAGAGATCGATGGATGCTGCAGCGTCCCGCTCCCGGCTGGCGGGCCAGGGCTCTGCCCCAGCCCAGGAAAGCGCTTACCTCACATTCCTCATACTTGATATTATCCGTCAGTTTCCAAAGCATTTTCATGGATTGGCGTGAGAGAGGATTTGTTTCTCCCTGCCCTGTCGTTCCCTAAAGTGGTGCCTCTCTGGTATGCAGAGTGCGGCTGGCGGAGGCTCTGCCGAGCTCCTGTGCGCGCTCTGAGATCTCCCTCTAATGGTAGAAACTTTTCCCTTTTCCAGCTCTTTACCAACAGCCTAATCGCCTCATTAGCATATCAACAATAGTCCAATTGCTCTCCAGCACAACAACCTGCAGCAATGGACACAGGTATAAAGGCCCCACGAGCAGAAAGGCTTTCTGCCAGCCGCAGAGCCCGGGCGCGGGGGGAGCCCGCCCCGGCGCG